CAAATGGAGTGTGGCCCCTGCTGCCTCTCCCCAGTCCATTCCTAGGACTATATCAAAAGGAAGACTGTCTTCTACGAGGAGAGTCAGGGAATGGAGGACTTTCTCCACCTTCCCATCTTTCTCTAGGCAAAAGTACACCTGGACTCCCTCGACGTAATCCTCGACTCGCATAGTGCGATTGTCTGTGAAGATACTAACTATAGGGTCTTCTGGTTTTTGGACTTTTTTGCAGCGCTTTCCTACTGATGTAGCTGCGGGTGGCCCCACTGTCTATAAGGGCCCCTACTCTACCTCTAAAAATCTCTACGTCTACTAAAACTAGCTGTCCTTTGGCATCCTTTTTCATCTTGGCCCAGGCAGGCATCCTCTCCTTCAACTCTTCAGCCACGCCTGTGAGGGAAGTACCTAGGGAAACGCTTACACAAGCAGTCTCTGGACAACTGTCTAGGTACTGGCCAGCAACCTCTGCCGCAGACTCATGTGGTTTGGGAGTTCCTCTATGGTGCACGCACTCCTCTCCACATGGCCTAGGGGTAGGGGCAGTTGCCACCCCTACCGGCGGTTGCCTTTTGCTGCTTGTGCAACATACCGGGCTTCTCTGTACTTTGGACAATATTTAATTATGTGGCCAGGATCACCGCAGTAAATGCACTGATTCTGGTCCACACGACGTTGCCACACAGTCTGGTCTAAGCCCAGGTCTTCCCATGGAATGCCCTGTGGCAAGCCAGGGTGCCATCCACCTCTCCTTGGAGGCAATCGATAAGATCGTGAGCGATTTGGCGGGGGACCTTGACCCCTACCTCCCTCTTGGCGGTTTCCTCTGCCGCCAACCCCCTGAGCGCCCTGTCCTCGGCCACCTGAGGCCCGCCCCCCTTGGCCCTGGCCTCCTCCTCTAACTTGTGGCCTCCCTCCAGCCGCGACAGCAGCGTAGGTCCTCCCCTGACCCCCACTACTGTCCTCCTCCTCTAGGCCCCACTCAATCTGGCTGTATGGGACCTCGCCCGTACCGCCCTCGTCTAACATAAGGATCAAATGATCCTTGGCCCTAACCTGGCCAGAGATAGTACGACCTTTCCACTTTTTACCCTTGTCCAAGTCCTTGTGCCAGAAAGTGGATACTGGCATGTACTGCGCCTCAAACAACACCACCTCTCTACTTAACGCATCCTATGTCATGGCGGGTTGCCGTCTCTTCTCAAAGAAGTGCACCCGTAGGGGTTCTGGCATGGCACGAAAGAAGAGATTGACCAACTGGGGCTCAGTGACTCTGTGGTCTGGGACGCCTACAAGCTCGTCCATTACGCCTTTGAGTGCTCTGGCACTCCTCCACTGGCGTGAGTGGATAGTCTGCAGTTTGTCAGAGGCCCTAACGCCTCGCGTGACATCTGCAAATCGCTCCTTAAGGAGCCGAAAGAACTATGGGAGAGGGGTGAGCTTAGAATAAGCGACCATGTTATTCTTGCAATGTGCAGCGCGAGCGAGCGATCTAGCAAAGCTGGCGGCCTCATCCTTGAGGGCGTGGAAGGCGATGAGGACTTGTTCCTCTGGCACTATGTGTTGTAAATAAACGTATGTATTTACATTGGCCTCCCAATTATCAAAATTTTCCTCTTTCTTCCCGCAGTAGGACTCAGGAAACTTCAACTTAAGGGGCTCTCTACGGGGGCGTAGCTCTTCCTCCTTTGGCACAGCCAGCTTTGCGCTGTCAATGGCGGCTGTACAAAACTTCTTCGTGCCCTCCAATCTCGCCTGCACCTCAACACCTACGTGCCACATCATCTCACATGCGAAATCTTGAAAGCCTAAGCGTATGAAGTGTGCGGTCATATCTTGGGCTCTCGAAAACTGATACCGCTCCACCCATGCCTTGGCTAAGAGCTCAATGTTCCTGGAATAATATTTAATTTCCCTTGTATGTCAGCTTGTGCCTGGATCTGCGCTCGTTGCTCCTTGATCACCTCCAACTCCCTCGCTATTTGACTCGCCTGATCCATCCTCCTTTTCCTCTCCCTCATAAGACAGTTTCCATTCTAACTTCTTCTCCTCCTCGATTGTCTGGCGTCTTAAGGGATCTTGTTCCGCTTCCCACTCCTTAATTACGGCTTCCTTCTCCTCTGGGGGAACATACAACATGGCCTCTTCCTCCTCTCCCAGAGATAAGTTACCCACTCAAAGATCTTCTTTTCCAACCCTGATTCCTCCTCCTTCGTGCCACTGAACTCACCTCTCTCCTCCGTGCGTCTTCTCTCCAAGGGTTCCTCCTTTTCCTCCTCTTCTTCTACCTCTTCTTCTTTTACTTCCTTCATCTTCTCTTCCTCCTCCTTCCCCAGTCTCTCCATCTCTTCCTCCAACTTCTTCGTCTTCGCCGCCTGCTCCTGCTGTAAGGCCAACTTTTTGGCCTGCCTAATCAACTCCTTCTTGACCTCCTTCTCTTTTCTCTCTTTAAGTACGGCGGCGGCTTGCTTTTCCTGAGCTTTCGTATAAGGGGTGGTGGGCTTGCCACTACGTGTCTCAACCATGGTGAAAGGTGCACAACCAAAAATCAGTTCCACTCCTCACCACTTAGACTCACACCCCTGACTGACTCAACTTAGAACTGACTCGATCTAAGGACCACATAATCTTAACAAGATCCTGTCAGCTATGGTCTCTAGCCTGGACCTAAACTAAGGTTGTCACTACAGGACTTACTGCTGATCAGGAGGCATTTAAGGAGATCCCCCGTAACTCCTCAGGAATTATTTAATGTCGCAAACAGGACGACGCGATCAACAAGTCCTCTCAAGACTTAGACAGCCTGTTGTACAACTTAGAGCTCGGATTTTGGGCCTACCATGCCACACCGAGCAGCCCGCCGGTCAGTACCTGTCCTTGGGAGGGTTCGTGTCCTCCCGGATAGTCGAGTCGTCAGACACGGCCTTTAGCCCTACTCAGCCCGTGTGGGTTTGGTCAACAAGGCTCTATCCTTCATACACAGAGTTCCTATCACCTAGACAAAAGAGACTCAATGCAGAAAGAAGAGACAGACAGACTCGGCAAGTACCAAGGGGTGAGTGCACATCCATAGGGCGAGGGGATAGGCTGAAGGCTTGGCGAGAATATACCAACTCCAGCTTGGTCATATTCGTGGTCAACAACTCTGGTCAACGCCGGTCAAACCCCCAGTCAACACTCTAGTCAACCTCGGTCAACACCTTGGTCAACGCCTGAGTCAACTCCCAAGTCAACTTTGGTCAACCCCTTGGTCAACGCGTTGGTCACCCTCAACTTAGCTATGGCTGCCACCCCCTTTTCTTCCTTGCCAACCTCCTTATCCTCCTTCCTTTCTCCTTTTTTCTCGCTTCACCCCGGCTATGGCTTCCTCCACTCTCGTTGTCCCTCCTTCCTTATTCCTTGTCTATGGTTTCTCTCTCCTTCGTCTCTCCTCCCTTCTCCTTCACTTCACCTTTCTCTCTCCTTCGTGATCCCCTGTGTCCAAGCTCCACGGCTATGGCCGCTTTCTTCTTTGGACCACACAACAACCTTGTATCGCTCCTCTCTCTCTCTCTCTCTCTCTCTTCGTCGTTGTCTTCTGTGCAGGTACTCAGCACCTCACTCCGCAGTGCAGCTATGGCTGATCTTCTTCGATGGTGCAACTTGGCTATGGCGCCTAACTGGCGCACGCATCTCCTTCCCGCTGGCAACGACGATGGCGCGTGGGGTAACGGGAACCAGCTCCGATGCCAATGCAATCAGACTCGCTTTCTTTCCACTTCGCACACATGCAAACAGATGGAGACTCACACTGGCGCAGGGCGCCCACTCAAAGCTTAGAGTTATGGAAATCAAGAACACAGTTCAGATGCAAGTTCTCTTCAGCAGGCTATGGCGCATCAGTGCCTGAACATCCCAACCTTCGTCACTGTGTCCAACCCCACTGTTCACACACGCTCACTCTGGATCACCCTGAATACCACACCACACATACACACTGTCTAACTTCCTCCTACAGCGGCTATGGCCGCACCACCACTACTGACTATGGTTATGATCTCCCTTCATCCCACTTTGTCTTCAGGCAACCTGCAGACCACCTTCGCACAAGACGCTGTAGCAGCGCTTCCGCATAGCTTACCCAGCGAATGAATTAATGGCCTGGCGCTGCCTCTTGATTTATACTTTTGTAACTCGTTGGTCTGCCCCTTTCCCAGGCCCTTGGTGCACACAGTCCCACACGGTACGTGCTTGACTGGACTCTGACTGACGGGGACCAGTGCCGCTGACAACATGGGTTTGCACTGCCAACTTGATGCAGTCGCAGTGCTGACGTAACACAGTTGGCTCACCACTTGCCCACTTGCCTCTGACTAAATGTGGGACAATTCGAAAAGCCACTTCCGGACCTTCCGGACGGCTGTGGACTTGGCCTTTCGGGTACTGTAGCAGCTACGACCTTGACCTTTCGGGACTGTAGCAGCTACGACCTTGACCTTTCAGAGCATCTACAGCCACGACCTCTACAGAAATGTGACTCCTAATCGACAGACCTACAGATCAAACCCCTACCGCTACACGGACCTACGACAAACGACAAACAACTACCAAAACACAGATCACGGGTTCAAACACTCAGGGGTCGACTCGATACTGTACATGGGCAAAGTGAGGTCTGGGGATCGTACTCTAGGGCCCGCATCCGTGACTGCCGAAAAGTGAAAACCGTTTCAGTAGGGAGAAGGAGAAGTTTCACTGAAACTTCGTTGGAGTGTATTGTCGGGGGTTGATTGCAGCTGGAACAGATTTCGTGGTTGAGATTCTTGGAGTTGTTCGGTTGACTGGAGGAGAGCAGGCGGTGTAGTCAATGATTGATTGAAAGATTTTTCTGTCAATTTTTATATCTGGCTTTGGCTTCCGCTGTCCAATATCTCTCCATGGCTATGGTGTGAATCTGCTCTCTCCAGTCTGCCTGTCATTGTAGGTGTGTATGGGAACATTTGAATCCGGGTTTGAGTTGGGAATCAATTGAACACATAACAGTTGGTATCAGAGCTGGACCACGACCACCTAGCAGTTGACTTCGTGGCCACATCCTCTTGAGCCAGCGGTTGGAGAAAGGGGTCTTGTGATTCGTCGTCCTCAACGGTGCACCTGCGGCGAGGGGATGTGAAGGGTGACACGTGGAAAAGAGTATTGTGAGAATTGAGCCCTCGAGAAGGGGCCTCGCCATGATGTACATGTTCTGGGCTAAGGCCCCAGCAAGCCTTGTGCCCGCCCTAAGTGAAGGCGGGCCAGCAAATCAATAAGAGCCCTCTGTGCAAACATTTCCCGAAGTGGGGTTCATACAATTGCAGCACGCCAGTTGGTTGGAGTGCACCGAGTCTCGAATCTCTGCAAATGTAGAGATCCCAGGGCCTCTGAGTTAGTTAGGCCCTACGCACTTGAACGTGAGGCCGACAATGCATGCTGGGTATAGAGGCCGAAAATGCCAAAAGGAAATCGGCCCGCTATCTGAATCTGGCCGTAGGCCTTGATGAAAGAAGCGCAACTGCATTGCCCCGGGCCTCAACTGTAAGTGGGCTGGGTTCAGTCACTGGGGCCCAGTTGCAGGCTGAAGGGAGGCCGCCCACACGCAGCACTTGCATATAGGCAAGCAAGGCGAGTGGGCAGTGCTCCTTGGCCAATGCAGGCATTGCTGGCACGTTGCGCGAGTGCGAGTGTGCTGCGCTGTGTTAAGCTGCGTTGGGCATGAGGGAGACAGGCAGCGCTAATACGGTGGTGCGCTGCCTGGGCGCAGGGCGCTTGGCGGCCATAGCCGGGCTGCATAAGGGCGCAGGGGAGGTGAGGGCGAAGGTGGTTCTTCGGAGGTGAAGGGCGCTGTGTGGGTAACAAGGGAGAGTGTGGGTGAAGAGGACACGTATCTGGTGGAGGTGGAGGTCGGCATTGGTGTTGACATCATCACTCGCTGGTAGTCAAGGCTTTCATTGCTGTAGTTGTAGGCTTAGTCTATAGAGTAGATAGGGCGCCTGGCGCCATTCATAAGAGAGAGTTACATTGGGTTATGCGGTTGGTGTTGCCCTGTAGGGCATGGACATTGACTCACGATTCTTCTGTATCATTCTCAATTGGATGGTTACAGGGTTCCATTGTGCTATCTGCTATGGCTTTGACTACTTGGACTTCAGTGTGATTTTGCATTCTGGATTTCTGTGCTTCGTCCATATTCATGTTCCTGGCAATTTGGTATCGGAGCTGGTTTGATTCGCCACTTACCTTTGGCACGCTGGCGTTATACGGACTTGGTGCGTTGACGATGCTTCTTCGCAGTTGGTACTTGTGACGCCAGGCCATTGATAGGCGCACGCCCTGGGTAGAGAGGGGTGCGCCGGAAGGCTAAGACGGCAGTGTATGTCGTGGTGACATGCGGAATGTATGATTGGTGATGAGAGCATGCTGATGTGGCATTCGGCTGAGGTGGCACTGCATTGCGTTGTGGGTGGTACCGAGGCCAAGACCGGTCATCAAATGCACACTCAGCTCAATTGGTGAGAAATCTGTGGTTGGGGGCAACTATCTCCAGGTACGTTGTTCCCTTACCTTATCTACTCTCTCAATCTTTTCTTACTGTGAGGAAGTGAGTCCAACTTGAGAGTCCTCTCTTTTGGTGAGGTGTCGTGAGCGCGCTACCTTGAGGGACGACAATCTTCCCGGAAGCATCTGGAAGGAGAAAGGGCGGTGCCTCTGAAGGGCCCCAACCCAATGGGAGTAGGTCACGCATGCGATGGCTGCTGTCCATTTTGGCACTTGCTGCGCAAAAAAGAAGTCATGCCGGGTGTGTCAGCCCATGACAGACGCTTACCAGACCGTCTATAAACATTTCTGGCTGGGAGTTCATTGTGAATCTGGCTGTGATCGTCGTCCCTACTGCGACATTAAAGAATTCCTGAAGAGATGGGGGCGCTCTATAAATTCCTCCTGATCAGCCAGATCACATGGACAGGAAGGCTCGTCGTCGTACGAGGGTAAATAAGAGTGGTTGGGCTGGCTTGCTCGGTAACGACGTGGGCACAGGGGTGGGTCGATACACACACGAAGACACTGCTTGCTCAATGATGCTTACCGGTATGTTGGACTGAGGGGAGGGTAGGTTCTAATTGGTGCTCAACTGAATACACAACCATACCCACTCATCATACATCTGCAACATGGTCTTTTTGTATTTTGATTAGTTGGTGGACAGACTGCTAACACCTCACAGACAGAATTAGATTAGGACTGTTGTATGCTACCATAGCCAGTTCTGTCTACTGCTGCTGTAAGTGAACCAATCAGAGTACATCTAGACTATGTAGACAATCTGTTGTGAATGTTGTAGACATGCCACTTGATCGGTACAGTAGGGGACCTGCCGGACACGACTATTTTTAGAAATTTAGGCGTCGGTCAGACACATGCTGTGGTAGGACTCCACTAGGGGGTTCTAGTGCAGTCAATGTTTGCCAAATTCATGAACGGGTCAGACGCCGATGAGGAGAGAGTTGACGATGCTAGACTAACACGTGCAAGGTCACGTAGGATCCCGCACGTGTTCCAGGCCCTACAACCGGAAGACGAAAGACGCATTCGTGCCGAACGCAGAGCCCATGCTCTCGCAGCATCGAGAGAGGCAGCAAACGTTGCAGTTAGGGAACAGGCTGCAGCAACAGCCAGGGCAACAACCATGTCTTCTGCAGCAACATCCTCCACTGCATCTTCTGTTGTCTCCTCGTCTGGACCCCAATTGGGAATGCCAATAGGGTCCGAGAGCACTTCCAGTTCAGTAGGATCACGACAGTCTACAAGTCAAATGGCGGGCTCGCAGTTCAGCCCGTTGACTCCTCGCGAAATGGAGCTCAGGGAGCTCCAACAGGTCGAAAGGATCCGTGAAAGATTAGAGAGGGAACTGAAACAAGCTACTGACAGAGAAAGAGAAATCAAAAATAGAACAGCCAGGCTTGATACATTAGAGGCTGACAAAGCTGAGTTAGAGGGCTTGGATGACTCTGGAATGAATGAGCCCATGAAAGTGTTGAGGAACAACACGTTGTCGCTGCATGCGCACGTGGACAGCAGGTTGGACTTCATCCAAAACACTTTGGACCAGATCCTGGACGTTCTAACTAGGCCAGGATTTAGGCCACCAGCACAATCGCCATTGCCGTTATGGGCGATGTCAGGCCCCTTTCCAGTTCAAGCTGGTACACAACCAAGTGGTACGTCTGCAGCAGTCGCACAGACTGTTGCATCTTCTTCTTCGGGTCCAGCRGTGGGAGCTACACCACCGCAACAACCTGTTCAGCAATCTGGACAGCCGCAGGGTCAATGGTATCCTAAGACCCCAATGAAACCGCCTCTTGCCTTCTCAGGCGAGAGAAAGGACGAAGAGCTCAACACATGGTTGAGGACTGTCCTGGTTTGGGTGAAGGCAAAGAGGACCTCGCCTGAGGATGAAGTGGTAACTGCTGCATCTTACCTCGAGGGTAAGGCAGCCAAATGGCTAGATGGTGTAGTTGTGAAAGCAGGGTACGGGCGACGCATGGCGGACTGGGCTAAGTCATTAAAGTTAGACCAGTTCATGGAAATGGTAGAAGCTCGATGGCATAATCCACAGGAGGCACAAAGAGCCACTGATGCGATTAACAAACTGGACCAACGAAAGTTCAAGTCGGTCAGAGAGCTTACGACTACCGTTGAGAGCCTGATCCTCGTCCCTGGCATCAACTATAGTGACCAGTTCCTGTTAACAACCTTTGTTGGATGTCTTCCTGAGAACATCAGGAACTTGCTGGCCAGCGAGGCACGCCTCGAGTACCATTCATTTGAGACATTGTCTAGGAAAGCCTTAGATTTGGAGGCCACACTAGGCAATGCTCAACCCACTCAGAATGACACGAAGAAGAAGAAGAGTCCTCAGGAGTGGAAGAAGAAGGGGGCTAAGTTGATGATGGTGGAGTCCGATGGGACTCAAACTGAGATCGACGAGCTCACTGACCTGATGGACTATACAGAGTTTGACGGCGAGGAGGTAGCTGAGGGTAGCACCCTCGCCGCGGTAGTCAAGACTAAGGCAGGTGGCCGAGGGAAGGGCCAACCAAGGAGTCAAGGGAAGGCCGCCTCCAATCAGACCAAGCAGGCTGATTGGGTGAAGGCAGGTCTTGATCAAGACGTGTGGCGTGACCGCCGAGTGTGTGGTGCTTGTATCAACTGCGGGGAATACGGTCACTCGCAGTACAAGTGCCAGAATGCAAAGGTTACGCAAAAGATACCTCCAAAGATGGGGGCATCTTATTCCCAGGCTTCTAGCTCAGGAAAAGCGTGAGGCCAGTGGAAGTGTTAGCGGCTTCTACTCAAGATGACGTGGGCTTGATACCCTCCCCACTTCATGACAAGGCCGAAGCTAATGACTCCTTAGCCACCCCGCAGACACAACTAGACCAAACTATGCTCTACGTTAGATGTGTCTGAGGCCTTAGAAGACTTAGCACTGAAGAAAGGTCCTAAAGGGGAACATTTCGTGGTGGAAGTGGATGTAGGAGGCCGCAAATGTGGTGCCTTCATAGACATCGGATCCATGCGGAATTACATAAGTCGAGACTGTTTGGAAAGGCTGCACATACAGGACCGGGTACGACACCTCAGTAGACCTGTAGCATCTACTTCGGCCAACAAGGAGCGCATGATTGTAACAGACTATATCAAGGACGTAGTCTGTACCTTCTCCTATGGAGGAGGCGAACTTAATCATAAGATTTCGTTCTTGGTTAGCGACGACTTACCATTCGACATGTTGTTAGGCATGTACTGCCTCGAAGTTGCTAAGCGCCAGTTTGATTGGGATAAGAAGGTGCTCAAGCATAAGTTGCCCGATGGCCGAACTGTCAGATTAACCAAGTTCAAGGCCAGTAGCATTATAGATACCTATGGCTGCTTGTGCGCATCAGCGTTCTACAATTACTATAAGCAAAACCAAGAGGAGGGTATGTACCTTGTGTATGTCTCTGAGAAAGGGGAGGCCGTTAAAACACCCCCAAAGATAGAACGCGTCGTTGCTAAGTTCCCTGATCTGTTCGAGGAGCCCACAGGAGTTGTTGAAAGGGAAGTTGTCCACGCCATAGAAATCATTCCAGGGAGGAAGACCCCAAAGGGAAGGATGTATAGGATGGCTCCCGCCGAGTTAGATGAACTTCGGCGACAACTTAAGGAGCTGACAGAGAAGGTATGGATTCGGCCTAGTACTTCCCCTTACGGATCACCCGTTCTATTCGTACCGAAGAAGGGGGGTACTTTGAGGATGTGCATTGACTATAGAGGCCTCAATGCCATCACAGTGAAGAACGCAGAGCCTCTACCTCGCATAGACGACCTATCGGATAGGGCGCAGGGATGCAAGTACTATAGTAAGATAGACTTGAAATCCGGATATCATCAGATCGCAATAAGACCTGAGGACCAACACAAGACAACCTTTCAGACCAGATACGGTCTGTATGAGTTTGTAGTGATGCCCTTTGGTCTTTGCAATGCGCCGGGTACATTCCAGCACGCTATGAATCGGATCTTTCATGACCATTTAGATAAGTTTGTCATGGTGTACCTTGACGACATTCAGACCTTCAGCAAGTCTACCCAGGAGCATGCAAAGCACGTTGAGACGGTACTCTCACCCCTGCGACAGCACAAGTATAAGGTCAACTTAGAGAAATGTGAGTTCGGTCGCACTAAGATACTATACTTGGGTCATGAAGTATCCGCAGAAGGGATTAGGCCGGAGGATGCGAAGGTGGCTAGTATTCGAGACTGGCCACGACCTCAGACTGTCACTGAGGTCAGATCTTTCTTAGGAATGTGCGGCTACTATAAGAACTTCGTAAATAACTATTCTACAATCGCCTCTCCTTTGACTGATCTAACTCGACTTAAAACGTCGTGGGACTGGAGTGATGAGTGAGAGGGTGCTTTCAAGAGATTGAAGCATGCACTCATGAATCATGAGGTTCTCATGGTTCCCGATCCTCAGAAGCCATTCATAGTGACCACTGACGCAAGCCAATACGGCATTGGCGCAGTGCTGCCTCAACAGGATGGGAAAAAGTTGAGACCCATTGAGTATATGAGCAAGAAGATGCCATTAAAGAAGTTGGCAAAGTCCACCTATAAAAGGGAACTCTATGCTCTATACAAAGCACTTGTCCATTGGAGACATTTCCTATTGGGAAGGTTCTTCTACTTGAGGACTGATCATCAAACCCTCAAATGGATCAAGACTCAACCGGCTCTTTCCGACGCACTCAAGCAATGGATTGAGGTCATAGACCAATATGATTTCAAGCCTGAGTATCTGAAGGGAGAGTATAACAAGGTTGCTGATGCGCTATCACGTAGAGCCGACTACCTAGGTGCGCTAGTTTCTGACTTTGGCGTATCTGAAGAAGTAACTCAATCATTCGTGGGAGCCTATCAGGAAGACCCTGTCACGATGGACATCATGCGCAAACTTCAGGCAAAAAACAAGGCCACGGAAAGTGAGTTTATGATGGTGGACGGGTTACTCTATCTTGATAAGGCCGGAATAAAGAGATTAGTAGTTCCATCTAGTGAGCGATTGCGTAGTTTGTTTTTAGGCGAATGTCATGACGCAACTGGGCACTTTGGCTACAAGAAGACGAGTGCTAACCTAGTACAACGATTTTGGTGGCCAGGAATGTTCGATGACACAAAGAAGTACGTAGAGACCTGTCAGGTCTGTCAACGGGACAAGCCGCGAACTCAAGCACCGCTTGGGTTGTTGAAGCCTTTGCCTATTCCTGCCGATCCAGGACAGAGTGTTTCCATGGATTTCATGGACACCGTGGTGACTAGTAAGAGTGGCAAGAGGCACATCTTCGTCATCATCGATCGATTCACCAAGTACGCTAGACTAGTGGCTATGCCAGAGACCGCAAGAACTGACTATGTCATCAAGTTGTTCAAAGACAACTGGGTGCGTGACTTTGGTTTACCGAAGTCAATCGTTAGTGACCGATGTCGGTGCGAATACCCTTACAAGGGTATCCGCCCTGGTTTTTGCAAGTGACAGAAAATAGTTTTGGTCTAGAGTCTAAGTATACCGCGCTAAGCGCGGCTGCATCAGTAATTGCTTTGACTGGGTGGTTGACCGCAATAGCGAGTGCGTGGGCGCGCAGGTTTAAGGCTCGCGTGATACTTTTCTGTTATATTGTCGTAAAGCCGGCCCGGACCTCAGTCGTTTTGCTTGGTGATATTATTATTATTATTTTTTTTTTTGATTAAGCAGGAATTAAGGATATATTTTTTTTATTGGTACATTTGACCGAGTCGAGTGCGAGTGCGGAGAACGACTCCGACGACGGCATCGACAATAACGGTGCGATTTCGTGCGGTGAGCAGGATGTCGCAAGATGACGCGCAGGAGCAATTACGGCATAGTATAAGCAAGCCGGCGCGGGCACTGGGAGCCGCGCAGCCGTTTTGTTGGCCCAAAGCGCCGCGCCGCACCGTCTTGTATGGTACTCTGCAGGCGCTGGTATCAGGCTTGGGCTTAGCCCTATAGGTTACGGCATTGGGTTGACGCTACGGAGGTTCGGGGATCGAGGTCGGCGGACGCCGATGTAGCAATGGCAGCGGAGCGGCGTGGAGAAAATCGGAGGGGTCGAGGTCCCGGCGGAACTATCCCCCTTCGTTTTTTTTGTTTACAAGCGCGACGGAAGGGGGCCGATTCGTAGGGCTGCCCGTTAAAAGTTCCCCGTTTCAGTTTTATTATTTTTGTTTAGCCTCCTTTTTATTTTTGTTTCACCCGTGTCCCGTTCTGGGACGCGATATCGGGCCTAATGCAGGGTCACATGGGGTGTGTTATGTTCGGGAGGTTGCCTGAAGTGCAGTTCCAAGTTGTTTTTTTTGCAGATGCGCCGAACTTACCCCGCTATTATCGCGCTATAGTATTTTGGGGAACCTCGTATCAGTCACATATGTGTTCAAGCCTCCAATGAGAGGGCATGAGGGAGCCGCAGTGCCGCCCACCAGCAGGGGCGACACCTGCTACGGCTGGGTGGGTGAAA